CAAATGGTCTTTCCTCGTGGCTGTGAGGATGGGACTGATCTGTGATTGAAGAGTGGGACAATTGCAGTCTCATTTGTAAACGGCAGTGCCTGTGGCCTTGGGTGTGGGGGAAAGCAATAGATGACAAATGGAAAGAAATCATTCCAAATTCCTCTTTGTCCTGTGGGTAGCTGGGAGCCCTGACCTAGCCCTCACCCCCCAATTCATATGTGAAGCCCTCACATATGACTTTGAGGTAATAAAGATTAAATGAGTCCTAGTGATGTGGCCCAGCCCTCGCCGGTTTGGCTCCGTGGATAGAGCATCAGCCCTCAGATTGAAGGGTCCCAGCTTTGATTCAGGTCAGAAGCATGTGTCTTGGTTACAGGTTTGATCCCTGGTGCTGGTGGTGGTCGTGGGGAGTGTTAAGATAACCAATCAGTGTGCCTCTCCCACATCAATGTTTCTCTGTCTCTCCCCCTCTCACTCTCTAAAAATTAATGAAAAAATATCCTCGGGTAAGGATTAAAAATAAATAAGGATGGGATCCAAATCAAATATGACTGGTATCCTTATAAGGGACACACTTTGCCCTTGTGGGGAAAAGGGGGTCGCCACAGCAGCTTCCAAGTAACTTGCAAACTTGTTCTTGACAAATGGGGCTGCGAACAGTGGCCCAGTCTGTCTTTAGCTGAACCCAGCCTCTGTGTCCAGTGCCCCCAGTGTCCCCCAGCCCCAGACTGCCACCCTATGCCATGAATCCTGCCTGGGTTCCTGGAGGACTGCTGGCCGTAGGATCCCTAGTGTTAAAGCTCTGAACCAGTAACAGTTCCTGCCTGGTTTTGTGAATTTGCATCACCTGGCTGTAGACTTGAGACATGCTCCCCTTCACACGCAGATGCCCAGGCCTTGGTCATGATGATCACATGCTCTTGTGACTGTTGACATCCATGTGGTTGCAACAGACAGCTTTCGGCCACCTCCAGAAAGGTCCAGCACAACCTATCCCCTGCCAGGGCCGGCACAACCTAATTAGGCTCATGAAGCTGAGTCAGTTACGGCGATGGTCCAGGAGACCCCCATGTCCTGGAGCACCCCAAATCTTCCTTGGAGTCTGAAGCATCCCCAGACCCTTCCCCAGGAGTCCCTCTGTGAGTGTAAGCCAGCTGACACAATGTTTGCTGCCTGCCACTCTAACACCATCAGCTGCCCAGGTGTCCCTTGTGGTGAATATCCGGGCCCCAGCCAGCTCCAGGCAGCAGAGCCACGCCAAGCTGACATTATAAACCATCTTCCCACGCACAGTACGAGCTACACGTGGCTCGGCCGCCTGGGACTGGCTGGGGCCCGGACATTCACCACGAGGGACACCTGGACAGCTGATGGCGTGGGGCTGAGCTTGCTGCCCTGCCAAGTCAGCAGTGACTGAGAGGACTCACTGGAGCTTGTGCTGAGCTGGGGGCCACCAAACAGGCCGGCATAACACTCCATGACCAGTGCAAGGGTACAGATCTTTGGGGGCCAGAACCTCCACTCCCTCACTTTTGGATGGGAACAGCCCTGAAGGCAAGGAGTTCAGTGCCCTGAGCTTCCATCTCACTGGGAAGTGAAGGGCTGTCCCAACCGGAAGTCAGGCCTCTGATTTGTAATAAGGTCAGGAAGGCTTGCAAGGTAGTAAAGTTGAATCATTTTGAAACTTTCAGGAAATAGTTGAGTTCAGCTACATTCAAGAACTGGGACCAAGGAGACGGACTGGTGCTCTCTAGGAAAAGCCTAGCGTGGCCGGCGTGGCTCAGCGGTTGAGCGTGGACCTATGAACCAGGAGATAACTGTTTGACTCCCAGTCAGGGCACATGCCCGGGTTGTGGGCTCGATCCCCAGTGTGGGCTGTGCAGGAGGCAGCCAATCAATGATTCTCTCCCATCATTGATGTTTCTCTCTCTCTCCCTTCCTCTCTGAAAACCAATCTACACTAATAAAAGAGAAAAATGGTAATTGGCGAACGACCGCTACCCTTTTCATTGGCTAATCAGCGAGATATGCAAATTAACTGTCA